GATTGCAGCGATCTGGCAGGAAGGAGGGATAACAACACATCGGTGAGAAGGCGTCAGCCGCACAACACCCAGTGCAGCCTCGACAGAACGCGACCCCCAGGGATTCCGTTCTCATCACCACCGCAGATGCGTGAAGTGGGCCACCGGCACCGTCTCCCTTCTTCCTCTCTACCAGCAACCTACCATTCCGCTCGTTGCTCCGGCAGCAAAGCTTGACCGAAACTCTGAATAGGCTTTGCTGTCGCCGCCACCCAGATATCGCGAGTACAAGGGCTTGAGCTGCTCGTAGCCCACCCAGTACATGGCCGAGAACGGAATGTCTCGCCAGAGCGTCGGGATCAAGCCCCGCCACAGATAGAGGATCCCGAACTGCCGGGTCATGAACCGCACCCGCTTCAGGGTCTTGGCGAGGCTGTGGTGCTCGTCGGTCTTGCCCTGCATCCGGGTCCGCACCAGCTCAATAGGGGATACGATCGCCGCAACGGCTCCTGTCGACAGAGAAAAGGCCAGAGGCCATTGTCAGTTTCGATACGGGGAGGACGGCAATAGGCCGAGGACGAGCAATGCTCTCCAGACCAGCCCCTCCCACAGGATCGCATTATCAGCAGAACCACTCAGGCGATACAGCATGGCCCCAATGCGCCGTATATGCCGATGGCCTGCTGCACCCACCTCGTGTGATCGATCCCGCCAGAAGCGGTGCCATGAAACCGGCTCCGATCGACGACAGCGGCGCCGAGATTTGGTTGCGGAATTTCTCATATCCGACGTAGTAGAGCACAGTCGAGGGCACCGAGATGACTCTATGTGGCCACCAAGGCGGTTGCACAGGTTGGGCAGAGGAAAGAACGATTCACGAACATGGCGTGAGTCGACCGCACTCGGGGACTGGCTTGGGCAGGGAATCCGACTTGGAGTGCCACCCTGGACTGGACCGGACGACGGGCCGGTGGACTGCGGGCCACGGGGAACGACATGAACAGCGACGAGCAATACGTACAAGGTCGGACTCAGTCCTTTCCAGAGGGCAGCCCCGCCTTCGTTCCGGACGATTTGCAATACGGTGCGCTAGGGTGGGGCCAGACAGGCGAATCAAGCAGGAACCGCAGTCAGCAGGAGCAGGAGCGGGCCGAAACCGCAGGCGACGATCAAGTTGGTGCTGGTGCAGGTCGGGCTGCGAAACACAGGGAGGCAGATTGAGAGGCAAGGGCGAACCGGGGCGGGAGCGACTCCACAGAGAGCGGGTCGCCACAGAGGAGGAGAGGAGGGATTTGGAGCGACAGACGGCATATCCTACATTGTGCGCCATGGTCTGCTGCCGGGTCTTGACGACATCGAACGGCGTCACTGATGGAGGCAAGAGCGACGGACTCAGTGTGCGTGGGGTTTGTCGAATCAGTCAAGCAAGGAATGAGGCATGCTGTGGGGGGTGATCGATGGCGGCGCTTACTCAGGAGGGAGGTCAGAAGAGCACCAGAGCATGCCGACACAATCCTGGCCAGGGTCGCCCCGGGCGCTGCAGTCGTCACGGACGAGCCTGAACGAGACGCAGGCTTGAACGATGCTGACGGCGACGCAGGGCCTTGGATGCTGGGCGGCAGAGCGATCAGGACCGAGGACGGGGGCTGGGCCATGTCGGAGAAGCGGTGGAGGTGCTGCTGGTCGCTGTGGAGCTGCTCGGCGGTCTCGAAGGCGATCTCGGCCGACATTCGCAAGAGCAGACGGGGGGCAAGTGGGGTATTGATAATCCCAGGTCGGTCTGTTGTGGTAATCTGATCAACGGGGCGGGCAAGCAACCGGAAGCGTGGCACTGCTGACGGCCTATCTTGGGCCCGAACAAAGAGGCGTGTCGAAGCGGAAGCACCGGCCAAGCAACAGACGACTGCCACAGTGCCAGCGGGACATTGGCGAGAGCATCAGCGACTGCCACCGTTGGCTTTGGCTTTGGCTTTGGCTTTGGCTCTGGTTGTTAGCGGATGTGTCTGTGGGAAAGCAGAGGTGTCGCAGGAACAGTTGCTCTCGACAGACCCTCCTGGAAAGTAATGCTGCAGCGCAGAGCTCCCACCCCAGCGAGATTGCGCTCATCCGAGCGAATTGCGCTCATCGCAGACCAATCTCGTCCTGGACGGGCCCACTCGCACATCAAGTTCAACGGCCGGACTACTGCAAAGTATCTCGCTGGCTGGCAGTCGGACTGCCATCGCATTCGCTCATCGGCAGGTCCGATGGCGAGCACCATTGCGAGCGTCATTGCGAGCGCGATGGCGAAATTGCCCGCCAAAGAGCATCATCTGTGGATCCGTCTTGCACGAGCAGCGGTATCTCGCCCGGGCAGCCCGTCGCCGTGCTCTGCTTGCGCTTGTCCAGTCTTGATCGACCTGAAACGGATATGTGGGTATCCTCACAAAGCAAGTACCTCGACAGAGCACTCGACGGGTCGTGCAGTTCTGTCATTGCACCAAGACAGTAGCTCTCGACAAATCCATCTGGAGACATTCAAGGCGATGCCTCTATCCATGTATTCCCGCCAGAGCCCCCGCGGAGAAGTGCCAGCACGACACGACATGGCTGCATGCGATATCGGGGCTCGATCGAGACTCAAGTCGTGGGATTGAAGCGTGTCTCTGGATGCTCGCGGGCTGGCCGACAAGTCGGCCGAGCACACTGGCTCCGTCTCTGCTGCTGCCCTATCCGCTCGTCTGCCAATGTGCCGAGCACACCACTCCGCCGGCTGGGCTGTGGGATACTCTCCATCGAGTCTGGCCCTGATGTGCCAATGCACCGATTGCGCGACCAGGGACGACTGCCCAATCAGCGGGCGGCGACCTTTCCAGCCAGCCCTAGCCAGCCCTAGACAGCCCTAGACAGCCCTAGACAGCCCTAGACAGCCCTAGACAGCCCTAGCAGCCCTGGATCGATCCAGGCATGTCGCACAATCCGACGCGGCTGCATTCGCTTTTTTCTTGTCGCTGGTGAAAAAACGCAGAGCCGATCTGCCGCACGGAATCATCTCGTCCACGATCGGCACTGCGGCATGAACGTCCCCCGCTTTCTGAGAACTGCATCGGCCACTTGCGCTGCTGCTGCCGCCCGGCCTGTCCGGTTTGCCGCGGGCCCGTCGCCCGTCGCCTGCATCGCCTCGCAGCTTCTGCAGCGCTCGCACGCCAGCACCGCAGCGACGGCATCGGCCCTGCCAAGCGACCCCACCAGCCATCCCGCCTTCTTCACCGGAAACCCACACTACTACGATGCCATTATGGACCTGAACAAGCTGATCCGGAAATACGAACTGCCCTTCACCAAGGAGGAGCTGTCTGCCAAGGCCCACAAGATCCCCGTCAAATGGATGTCCATCGATCTGATGCGGTCGATTCTGCACTTCAAGCTGGACGACCCGTCCTACAGCGCGCTCATCACCAAGCTCAACATCCTGGCGACAAAGATTGGTGCGTGCTGTCGCTGCAATTCGGACGGCATGCCCTGGTCCATGTGACGTGGATAGCCTGGATAGCCTGGATGGCCTGGATGGCCTGGATGTGCTCGTTGGCTGTCTGCCGGGGGGGGGTTTGCTGGCCAAAGTCTGGCTGGACGACTCCTGCGAATCGACGTCCTCCAGACGCAACTCGCTCACATTTCGTCGTGCCCTCGCTCTCCGTTATAGACGAGAGCCCTGAGATCATGGAGAAGCTCTCTCAGTTCATTTCGCCAGGCCAGTCCTTCTCGGTTGCCTCGGCCAGCAAGACCAAGCTCGACGAGTTTGGACGGGGCTATGCCTTGGCATCAAAGAAGAAGGCCCGCGCACAGGTCTGGACCGTCAAGGGAGACGGCCAGTTCTTTGTGAACGGTGTGCCGCTCGCCGAATACTTTACCGAGCTCGATCACCGCCAGACATGCACCCGTGCGCTCGAGGTCCTCGGCAAGCTCACGGACTACAACATCTGGGCACTTACAAAGGGCGGCGGATTCACGGGTAAGCACCGCGGCATCGACACCGCCAAGGCTCCGCAGCCTGAAGACTTCACGACGGGGGCATTGGGCGGCAACTGCTCGTTTCTGAGCCACGAGCTGGACACCGACAAACAGACGACGATGCTCTTGGACATGCGCAGAGATCGTGATGTCGAATGTGTTTCCTTGATCGATTTGCTCGATTACTGCCGTTTGGATGCTCGGAATATGCACATCACTCGCTCACTCCCCCCCCCTCTCCATTGACTCAGGACAAGCTGGAGCCATCTCCGTTGCGCTGGCTCGAACATTGTTGGCCCACGACCCCTCAGCAGTCAAGCACTTTTCCGAGCGTAAGCGACCTCCCGATTGCTGTGATGTGGATTGCAATCTCGTCCTTCGGATCCGTTTGATATGAATGCTGCCCTGCTGCATCGGTGGACACCCGAGCGTTTTTTGATCCGGCAAATACTCCATCGGGATCGGAGCCCATATTTACTCGTCGATGGCATGGTTTGCTCGCGGGCTCGTTGCATGTTGCGCCATACTCACCCAACGTGTTCCGACATTCGACCGCCAGTGGGGTTGACAAAGATCGACCGACGACAGAAGGAACGCAAGAAGACTGGCCAGCCCAGTGCCCGTGCCAAGAACCAGTGGGTCAAGCGTTAGAGGCCCTGGTGACATTTCCGTCCGCGTGCGTGCAGGGTGTGCTGATGCTCTCTGCCAGATCAACTGATGATGGTCCTTCAAGACCCCTGGTGTCTTTTGCGCTGAGCTCCAGCGTCCCTCCCTGTGGATAAATACACACTTTATGCAGGGGACTCAGGACACCCTCTCTCCCCCATGTGTCAGTCTAGTATGCGACAGCTTGCGTCGAGCAAAGCCACATGCAATCAAATCGACCATCCGAACAGAGTTCTGGCCGTGGCGCGTAGTGTACGAAACAGCCAGCGGCCGCCAGCACCGACTCCCGCCTGCTTGGACCAGGATCTGTCCTGAATCCGATTCCCGCACAGTCCGCCGCCTTCCCCCTCGTTCGCTCTGCAGCGATGGACACCGCCGAGCCTGCAATCGGCGCTGCCGCAGACCTCTCGGGAGCAACGCCGCAGAGCAAGCTCGCCCACACCAACCCCCTGGCCAAGAAGCTCGCCCAGGTCCTCACGATCGTAAGCGAGCCGTCCACCACAAGCCATTCGGCTCCTGCTGCATCGGCCTGGCTGGCCGCACCGGATCTCCATCTTCCCCATCGTAACCCATCTCCCCTTACTCCTCCTTGGCCCCCCACCACCATCCTAGTCGCTTGAGGATCAACAAACTCAAAATGCGCTCGAGGCACTCTCGGAGTTCTATGTGTCTAGCAAGGGCACATCCAAGCGAAGCTTCAGGGCAGATGTCGAGCGCAGAGTCATCTTGATGAACAACCGGTTCCTCGACTCGCTCAATGGCATCAACCAGGTCCGTGTTTGCTGTCCGAGATGAGCAGCAGCGGGGCCAGCGAGCAACGACACAACAACCCCAACATCGCCATTCCGCTCCCTTCCTCCTTCTCAATTCCATATCGACATGGGACCGTCTCGTCTCTGCCTGGGACTCGGCTTCTGTAAGGAGTGAACAAGCGCAAGGACGAAGACCAAGTGCTTGGTATGAGCTTTATTAGCTTTTAGCCCCGAACACCAAAGAACAAGTTTTGTTCGAACTGGTGTTCAACATAGGCTCAGACATGCAGGGCTATTTATAGACCGGGAGAAGGTCGAGGGGCAAAAGTGGGCGAGAAGGGTGGAGCATCACAGAGAAGCGAGAAGGGGGTGCGAGAGTGGCTGGTGTGCAAGCGAGAGAGGCTTGGCACAGCCCGGGGACATGTGCCGAGCGGTGGGGGAGGCAGGAAACCAGTAGACGCGGGTGGCAACGGCGCGTGCTCATGCATGGGGGCAAACAAACACGTGGGGACTCATGATTGGTGCGGAGGGCGAGAGCATGCGGGACAATCTCATTGGTCCGTTGTGATGCTGGTCATCACACTATCTCCTCCTTAAACTACGGCGTGTTCCATCTTGAGTTCTCCTGGGGCCAGGCTTGTCTGGGTAGCGTCGGTGGTACTCCGCGGCCACCGTTGGGGCAAAGACAATGTCGGCGGGCTCCCAACTTCGATCGGTGACCGGGTAGCCTTTCCAATCGATGAGATAGTGCAGCTTTCCGCGCACGAACTTGGAGTCTAAGATCTCTTCGACCTCCCACTCCAAGTTCCCATCGATGACCACCGCAGGGGGCGGCGCTTGCACCCGACCCGGAAGCGAGTTCTTCTTGTAGGGCTCAAGAAGAGACACATGGAACACCGGGTGCACCTTTATGTCCTTTGGCAAGTCCAGGCGGAAAGCCAATGTCCCGACGGCCTCGAGGATGGTGAATGGTCCAATCCTCTGGTAATCCAGCTTCTTGCTTGGGCGAGTGGTGCTGATGTTACGAGTCAGCACCCAGACTTGATCGCCCGGACGCAAGTCGGGAGCCTGGGACCTCCGGAGATCTGAGAAGTGCTTGTAGTCAGACTTTGCCTTCTCAAGATTCTCCTTCAACAGTGCCAGGTTCCGCTGGAGATGTTCAACCCTCTCCGTGGCAGAGGGAACATCAGGGCCGCCAGCGACAACGGGGACTTCGAACCTTGGGTGGAACCCATAGGTTGCCAAGAATGGCGAGGCATGTGTTGACGAGTTCTCGAGGTTATTGTAAGAGAACTCGGCCAACGGCAGCAGCTCGGCCCAGTCATCTTGCTGATACGACGTGTAACAGCGCAGGTATTGGTTGATGACCTGGTTGACCCTCTCAGTCTGTCCATCGGTCTGGGGATGGAAGGCCGTGGACAGACTGGTTTGGATCCCGAGCTGCGTGCAGAGTGCCTTCCAGAACCGAGAGGTGAACTGACTTCCTCGGTCTGAAACCACTGTGTCGGGGAGGCCATGGAGACGAAAGACATTGTCGAGGAACAGTGACGCAGTCTCCTCCGCCGACGGCAGTGAACGCCAGGACATAAAGTGTGCCATCTTTGTGAGGCTGCATACCACCACAAAGATGCAGGTGTGACCCTTGGACTTTGGCAGATCAGTGATAAAGTCCATGGTCAGTGTCCCCCAGGGTCGATCGGCTGTCTGGAGTGGCAACAGGAACCCAAACGGCTTGTGTCGCGGAGCTTTCGAGCGTGCACAGGTGTCGCACGTCGAGACGTACTCTTTGACATCTTTCCGATAGGTTTGCCACCAAAACTGTCGCGATACCAGAGCCAGAGTCCGTCGGATGCCTGGATGACCCACAGCGACTGGGTCATGGCACGACTTGAGCGCCGGAACTCGGCACGACTCTGGGACCACAATCCTGTTCTGGAAGGTGAGGTACTGGCCATTCCAGACGAACTTCGGGTCACGACGGTATTTGTCTAGACCGGGATCCCGAGCCTGCTCTTCGGCTATGAGCTGCAGCAAATCCACAGGGTCACTGCGACTTGCAACCGAAGAGCGGGCGTCTCTGCTTCGGAGCACGCGTATCACCGCGGCAGGATCGAGAAGCAGAGGCGGATCCCTCGACACGGAGGCCGACGAAGGGATGTAGTCCGAGCGACGAGACAGGGCATCGGCCTTGCCGTTCCTCGCACCAGGACGGTACTGGATGCGGATGTCGAACCGAGACAAGAACTGGGACCACCGTGCATGACGCTGGTTTAGGATGCGAGCCGTTGCCAGGTACTCCAAGTTCTTGTGATCGGTCAGAACGGCAACGGGATGCTGGGCGCCTTCGAGGTAGTGTCGCCACGCCTCGAAAGCCTCCTTGATCGCCAACAGCTCTTTCTCGTATATGCTGTAGTTACGTTCAGCATTCGAGAGTGTCCGCGAATGGAACGAGCAAGGATGAAGGCGATCATCAGCACCCCGCTGGGAGAGCACGCATCCAAGCGCAAAGTCCGACGCATCTGACTCTACGACGAACGGCTTGGATGGGTCCGGATGCACCAGAACGGGCTCCGAAACGAAGGCATCCTTCAAGGATCTGAATGCTTTATCGGCTTCGCGGGACCACTGGAAGCCATGCGTCTTCCGGAAGAGCCGTGTAACGTCCACTACTGGGACGTTGGGGCAAGACGGGGAGGGAGGGGGTACAAGACAAGACAGGACGGGGCAGAACAGGGCGGTGCTAGGCTACTCTAGCGGACGGGTGAGCTCGGGGAGCACTTACGTTTATTCACGATAAAACCGAACTCCAGACAAACGGGGGGAACGGGGGCAACCCGCAGGTATACCCTGCGGTGGCCTGCCTGCGGTGCGTGAAAACGCAAAGCGCAGCACAGGTCACGACCCACTGCGCCGCGCAGTACGCGCAGTACGCGCAGCACAGCGTCGGAGATACCATCTCCTACACTCCCACACTTAAGAAGGCTTCCTGCGAGGAGCCCTGCGTGTGCTCTTTATTTGGGGCTCCTCGAGGTGTTTACCGTATTTACTCAGCTCCTCGGGTGCATGGGACAAGTCCTCCAGTGTTTGCCATGTGTTGCCCGAGTGTGGGTAACCAACCCACTTGACATAAAACCGAAGTGACCCATCAGCCACTTTCTTGTGCCTCACGATCCTTTCGACTTCATATTCTTGAGTATAGTATTGTCCGAGGTCGTCTTCCAGTGGTGCGTCGTCCGGGACACCTTCGTCGGCGTCGGGGAACTGTGCTGGACTGCGGGTCGTGTGGCGACGCAGCTTGGACACATGGAAGACAGGATGGAGCTTGCTTCCAGGTGGCAAGTCCAACAGGTAGTTGAGGGGACTGGGTCGGGCCGCTATCTTGAACGGTCCTCGGTACTTGGGCAACAACTTCTTTGACTGGGCTTCGGGGACCTTGATGTTGTCGGCGTCCAGGTAGACAAGGTCTCCAACTTCAAAGGAGACATCCTGGTGTCGGCGGTCGTAGTACTTCGCCATCACTTGTTGCGCATCCGTGAGCGCGTCGGCGATCATCTTGTGTCGGACTTGATGATCTTTGACAAAGGCACTTGGTTTGGGAGGCAATCCAGCTGTGATGATCATGCACGTTGGGAACACGTGTGGACTGCTGCGCGTGATGCACCGTGAGTCATGTTTGTTTGTCTTGGCGTGTATTCCCTGATTGGCTGGCGCCGATGACTCTTACTTCGCCTCCGACTGCGCTGTGCTTCGCCCCTCTCGCTGGATGCTCCGCCTCCCTCGCACCCCCTTCTCGTCCCTCGTTTGTCGCTCCACCCTTCTCGCCCACTTTCGCCCTTCGGTTTCCCTCTTGGCTATAAAGCCCCTCCTTTCTTGCACCCATTTTGTATCTTCAGTTCGAACAACACTTGTTGTTATCTGATAAGTCGTAATATAGCTTATCGTTGTTCGCCAAGCACCTGGTCGTCCAGTGTCGTTGCTTGTCGTGGTCCTCACATATTGTTCGAACTCCCTCTCTCTGTCTGACCACCTGCTTGGCTGAGGCTTCGTTGCTGCCCTCATCCTTCTATTCTCTGTTGTCTTCCCTGCATCCTCGCTCCCCACTTTCAAAGCCCACATGGACCAACTCCAGGCCCAAATCGTTGCCCTCCAGGAGGAACTGGTTCTCCTCCGGACCACACATTCTTCCGCCGCCCCACAGCTCCCGCACATGCCGACCCCGGACAAGTTCGACGGCACCAGGTCAAAGTTCCGCCCCTTCGTCAACCAGTGCCGCCTGCTCATGATGCTCCAGGCATCCAGGTTCCCGTCCGAGCAAGTCAAGGTGGGTTACGTCTTGAGTTTGCTCACTGGTCCGGCCCTCCAGTGGGCGACTCCCTTGATCGAGTCGAACGATCAAATCCTGCACTCGTTCGACTCGTTCATGGAACGCTTTCGCCAAGCGTTTGACGATCCCGACCGCACCCACACTGCCGAGCTGCTCCTTTCCTCCATGGCACAGGGCAACCGCTCGTGCATGGATTATGCCTCAGAGTTCCTCCGCGTTGCCGCCGACCTTCCCTGGAACGACGAAGCCAAGATCTCCGCCTTCCGCCGTGGCCTGTCGAGGGAGATCAAGCAGCGCCTCTCCTTCATCGACCCTCTCCCTCTCCGCTTGGTCCCGTTCGTCGAGCGTTGCCTCAAGATCGATGCACGCATCATCGAGCTCAACAACGAGCTCCGAAACACTGGCCCTGTTTCCTTCGGCACCCAGGCCTTCAACTCCCGCACCCCGTCCTTCCAGCCGCCCGCCCAGGAGCCTCCGGTTCTCTACTCCGAGCCGATGCAGATCGACGCCGCCGTCGTCAGCCGCCTGACCCCCGAGGAGAAGAACCGCCGCTTCCAGGAGCGCCTCTGCTTCCGCTGTGGCAAGCCCGGCCACGTCGCCAAGTCCTGCCCCCTCAAGTCCGGCTCCCGTGCTCCCGCCTCTGGTTCCCGCTTCCCCGGCTCCCGTCCTCAGGCTCCCGGCTCCCGTCCCCGTTCGAAGGTTGTCCGAACCATCGTCTA